TCAATTATTGTTGTGAGATGAGGATTGGTTTAGGATTAATGAGTCACCCCGATTGGGTATTTATGCACTTGGCTTCGAGAACCACCCAGCCAACCAGGTGGCCATTGCCATTCTACATGATTGCTTGTACTTTTGTTTTTTTTTTGGTTCTCTTGAAATATTAGTTCCTTTGTCCGATTTGGCTATTTATTTTTTTTCTTTTAATTCTCTCCACTTGCATATTCATTTAGTAGTTCACCAATATCCCTCAGAAGACCCTAGTAACAAAAGGCCCAAAGGATTTGGGTATCAAATTAAGCTCCTTGATCATTGTTGGGACCAACAACTACTTCTTCTCTGTCGAATTTATGCAAAAGGGCTGCCGTGGGATGACCTATTTGGTACTTAGAACTTAGAAGTGAGTATTTCTTCGGGGACTCTACCATAAAATCGCTTACATGGTAGAGAAGGATTAAGAATTTAATTGAAGCTGATGGATGTTTGGTATTCTTGCACGCATCAGAAAGACAAAGTTCTTTTAAGCAGAAAAAAGAGATACAAGGTTTCTATCAATATATTGACCCCTCAAACATGTTACTTGATCATGGAAATTTTTTTTTTTTTTTCAGATATTTGAGCAACACAAGTTTATTACATGTGAGATTTCTTATTACTCTATCTACTAAAGTTGTAGGTTTTTTTTTTAAGTTTACAAGAAATACAGAATAGTAGAAGTAATACAAACAAATTATAATTTAACAATAATATTGTAAACCAACTCACAAACGATGGATTCTGCTTGAACGTAAGGGATAATTTCGCAAACCTCCCCTGAGGTTTATGACAATTGCAGATAGTACCTTTCACGTTAAAATGATAAAAGCAACCTTCATGAATTACTCAATTTAACACCTCCATGAAGTGATGCATTTTTAAAATTAAACTTAACAAATCGTTAAAAAAGAGAGAGAGAGAGAGAGAGAGAGAGAGAAAATAAAGAAGAGCAAGAGTAATAGATTCTTTCTCATTTTAACCACTCAAATCACCTCAATCCAATTTTACATCATATCATATTAAATTGGAAAAAAAATTGTAAACTCCTACAAAACTAGGTTACTTACTTAACTGGTATCCAAGATTTTTTTTTTTGTGGTTCGTACGTGTAAATTTTTTTATTTGATGGAAGAGAAATGAATTTGATAGATAGTTTTCTTAAAATATGTGGCAATATATCAGGTTTAAAATTACAAAGGAATTTTATTTCTAAGGGCTATATAGGATTATCAATGGGGATATTTTGCTTACATTAGCAAAGTGTGCCCCAAACTATTTTCCAAGAGAGGTTTATGTAATTTTTTTAACCTGGAGGGTATTCCCTGCAATCATCATAAACTTTAGGGGGGAGGTTTGTGAAATTATCCCCAAACGCAATGTGCTAGGGTTGGTTGTCAATAAAATGGATGGTAAGATAGTCATAGAGATAGTGATAGTGATTTGGAAGGTGCGAATATGGAAAGTTTAAAATAATACCAAAAAAAAACTGAAAGTGGATTTGTGATTTGTGAATGTTTCAAATTTTCTTAAGAATTTTATAGAAAAGTAAAATATACTTCACAATTATATGAGGATATGTTCAGTTATTCATGCAAAATTTAGCCACTGAATAGCTTTTACTATCAAAACAATAAAATCATGGAAGGTATACGTAATTTTTAAACCTCGGGAGTACTATTGAAAAATCTAATGCGAAAGGAGGTTTTCAAAATTATCTAAGAACGTCTTTGGAGTTTATTTTCCAACAATCTTGCTTAAAATCAAAGATAGAAGGTCAATATTCCCACATCAAACCGACAATTCTCTTCTCAAAGTAACAGTAGAAACATCCTTTTCCAGTTAGAGCCCTATTAATGCAGTGGAAGAGCCATGCCCACCGACCCCATCTTCCTCCAATAGGGGAGTGAGTCTAAAGGATGACACTTCCCGAGTCATCGCCGGGCTTAACAAACATTGTTGCTCGTTACGCCAAGTCTTTTAGAATCTGTGGAATAACTGAGAAAAGCGTTGGTATAAGCAAACTAAAGCAAGGCAAAAAAAAAAAAAAAATAGAGAAAAACAAATTTCTAGTTTTAGTAACTTTGGGAGGTATTGGAGGTCTTGAAACTTGGTTTGAAATCATCAGGCAAGTTGAAAGAATCATCTAAATTGTGGTATCATCAATAATCAAACATGGGTATAGTTTACGACAACTGGGAAAGGTTGGTGGATGCCACGCTGCGCCGAGAGGAGCTCCGGATGAGTGCTCTAAGAACTCCCACCGATCCTTCTTCAGCATCGCCATGGCCGTCGCCATCGCCATCGCCGTCACCATTCCATTTTAGCGTTTTGCCGGGTAAGATCGATTGTCAAGAAAGTTGAGAGAAGTTCATAATTTGTAGCTTCTGATATTGAAATTTTTGGCGGGGTTTTCTCATTTTCAGATAATTATATGCATATTATGTAGTCTATTTCTTGTCCAAGGCCGTGAATTCTAGGAAAATTTCGGATTGAATTAGTAATTTGAATATAATTGTCATCAGAGAATTGAATTATACGGACATAAGTATTCGTGCTCTATGCTTTTCCTTTATGCTGTCTTCTTGATGCAAGAATCTTCCTTAGTTGCTAGTTTCGTTGCTTGATACAAGGATAGTTAGAATACATATCTAAAGATTATTTTCTAAAATCTTCTTCTAAGGAGGGACACATCCACGCGGAAATGCCTGTCTTGATGTGTTCTTTCTTTGTGCTACAAATGACGTGGATTAGTAGTTTTATCAGGGAACAATGGATACTCAGCAGCAGCAGCTAGTAGGAGTGAGGAGTTATACCTGAGGGGAGATCTCGGCTTTCCACAATTTAAGGATTTTCTCTTTTTCACAGCTCAAGCTTGCAATGAGAAACTTCACGATGATCGATATGTTGCTTGGGAGCAGCGACTTGGGAAGTTTACACGAAGTTCGGCTTCGCAAAAAACCTGCACCAGAAGACTGCATTCTCAAAAGATGCAGGGATTTCAGGTGAGACTGAGACAGGTAATCTCTCAGCTGCGTTGGATTTGGTTACCCTGTGGCGACCGCCGCAGATGATAGAACCAGATTGGATGATTTGATGTGGTACCGATCTAGACTTCTATTCAAAAGCAATTACGGAAAAAAAAAGGGTTTTTCTCAACATTTGAAATGAGTGAGCTGAATGTGGCTCAATCTGGACTATAAATTCCCTCTACAATTGTCAATAGCAGCTGCAGAAGCCTCGAAGTTCTTGAATTTGTATCTTATTGTTCAATTCGGGGTTGTATTTCTTCTATTGTTGCAATTTCTGGCTCATGCAGTACTAGACCATAAATTTTCCTTTCTGCTTGTTTATGCTGCCATACCTGTTGACGTGGGACAGAAGGCTTAAAATGTTAATTGGAACAGCTTGAGGTTTGGAATTCTTGCAGGCATCAGGAAAACAAGAAGGTTTCTTTAACCAGAATAAAAGAAGGGATAATTTCCAATACCTCCCCTGAGGTATATGGCAACTACAGCTAGACCCCTTGTAGTTTTATTAATTCCACGTACCTCCCTTTTTCTACTATTTCTGTAACAAATCAAACCCAAAAATATGACATCAGTAAAAATTTAAAAAAAATTCATAAATTCTTGTAACAAATCAAACCCAAAACATCGCACATATGACTAGATACTCACATCTAAACAATTCATAAATTCTTGTGATAAATTTTCAAAAAAAAGATGAAAAGTATTTTTATCGTAAACGTCTAGAAAAGGTTTAGAAATGAATATTTAGATCTAAAGTAAGTGAAAGGTGAAGGGTAGCAGTTGGTTAAAAATAACAGTCATTAAAGAAGAAATAATATTGGATAATCAAAGAGTTAGAATTGAATAGAAGTGATTTTAAATTTTAGGTGCTATGATTGGGACGGGGGGAAGATTTTCTAAGAGAGGAGCTAGGTTCTTTTCTTCCTTTTTCTCTTTCAATCTTTCCCCCAAAGAAATTTTTGCTTTTGCTCATTCAAGAGCTATGCTATTAATCTCTTTTGGTGAAGGGAGGTACTTGAGATTATCCCCAAAAATAGATAAAAGAGAGGTTTTCTGTCAATATTTTGAGCCATGAGATATTATGATGTAAGTTGATTTCGAAAAGCTGAACAACGCAAGTTTATTGCATGTGGAATTTCTTGTTACTCTTTATACTTGAAGCTTGGCTGGTTCTTTCACCAAAGAGCTTGGATTTTTCTCATAAGATTACAAGAATCATCGTAATGAAAGTAATACAAACAAATTATAACTCGACAATGTCACAATTTACAAACGAATCCACCAAATTGGTCCATTTAAATTTCATATGCAGCAAGAAATTTGTGCACGCAAATCAGGTTTTGAAGACTAAGAAAGACAACTGATTTGGTCTCTGCGTGACAGAATTTCCATGGCAACTTTATCGGAATTGTCCCAATGACAAACTTTGATTTGGTGTCGTAGGACCTTCTCTCTCTGACTTTCTTCACAAAACTCAAAACAATTTCTTGTTTTTTCATATACAAATTATACAATCTCATCGCTATATTATATTTTTCAATAAAAATTTCAAAAACTTAGGGATCCAAACAGGTTGATAAGAAGATGTAATGAACATGCAACAAAGACGACAATTTGAAGCAGCCTATACGGACAAGATATATCCTATTCTAGGTGCAAATTCCATTCTTTCTTTTTGCACCTAGGATACTATTAATTCCATTCTTTTTCATTTTTTCCTTCCATCTTTTAGCTTTAAAGTACCACTAACCTATCTTTTGTCCTGAACTGGCCCAATTAATGGAGCTGATTGCAGCCCTCCAAGTCAATGATTCCTTATTTTCATTTATTTCTTTTCACATTTTCCTGGCAATCCGCATTAGATTTGTGTGTCATGACATACATACCCCAATAATTTAACGTTTAAACTTTAAATTAGCAGATCATAAAATTCACTTGTAAAGGATTACAGAAATAAATTTATGTAACTTTGGAGAAAAACACTCAAAGTAGTTTGAGGTAAAAACAACTTACAAAAACTGCTTGCTCTTGAACAACTCTATTATTTTTTCACGAGCAAAAGCAGTGATACATCAAAACATGAAAAGCAAGCCAAAAACAAACTTCCAACTTAAACAGCAAACAAACTCATAAAACTCGTAGTACAGATTAAATCCTCTCATATATGCCAGCTTCAAATGGATACCATTACTAGAGCCTGAGCTTCTCCAAAATAAGCAATGCAGAATTCTTTGCTCTTTGCAGCTTCAATTCAGGTTAGACCCCATCAAAGATTTGTTCATAGGAAGCTCAAACAAATCAGAAATCCTGTGTGGGGTTGCAACCAAATCAAAGGTTGATTCTCAGCAATATTGAAACCTTTCTAAATCCACCCAACGGTGCATTGTTTGCTTACTGATATACCTTCTTTAAGCTTAAAGTAGGCTGATCTGAACTAGTTTGCCAGATGACAAGGTTTGAGCAGATATCCTAGTTACATGCTCAAGGAGAGCAGACGCTGAGTTCCAATCCTTCTTTTTCTTAACCTTTCAGCTATAATGAATGCGAGTTCCAGAGACTGAGAAGCATTAAGTCGTGGGTCACAATGTGTGTGGTAGCGAGAGCTCAGGTCATCATATGTTACCGTCCTTGACCCCCCAATACACTCCGTCACATTCTGCCCTGTCATTTCCAGGTGAACTCCCCCTGGGTGGCTCCCTTCTTGCTCGTGCACGTCAAAGAATGCTCGAACCTCAGCCTGCCAACACATATGTAACATCATGGTGTTGTCCATATAGATTTCCAATATACTAAACTAAGAAGATCAAAATGAGATACGGGTTACATCTGCAAGATTCTTTGTTGCTTCTTTTCTTCCGAGTACACATGCAGTCACATGCAAACTACTCCATGTCCATTAATGATTTTCAAAACATAATTGGAAGGTGATCCCACTGATCACAATCAAATGTCACCAAATTATTACGACCTGACATCCAAGAGGACCAAGACCTAGCAGTGGACCACTAATATAACAAGTGCCCCATTTTGGAGTTTTTGTGATGATTAATTGAGACTTTACTTTTCCACCTACCACCAATAATCGTATTCCAATAAACTTGTCATTTGGCCTAAACTCTATAGAACACCACAAATTTTGTTGTTGAGAATGTTCTCATTAACCTAAATATGGATAACAACCAACTTAAAATTTTAATATAAGTTGCAGAAAGACAGTATGCTACTAAGGAGTTTAAGTCTGTTATTTATCAAAAGAACAACTAGTTAGTCACTTTTTCTTCATTCCATTTTTGTGGGAAAAAAGGAACCATTTAGGAGTCAATTTCCGAAAACTCATAGAGTTGTTATGGAAAGGTCACAAAATTCAGAGAAGATTTTTCAAATGCAGATTTTTGGGAAGTTTGATACAAAAAATCATCACATATTTCTCACTTTCAGGTTTTGAAGCCACAACCAAAGACAGGAAAGCAAATTGACATAAATAACTAACATTAAGTAGAAAAGAAGAGTATATAATACCAATATTGCATCAAAAGCACGAGTTTTTAGTCCGCAGGGTGCCTTGATTGTGTTCCCATGCATAGGATCACAGACCCAAGTGACAATCTGCCCGGCTCCACGAACAGCCCTGATCAAATGGGCAAGTTTAACCCTCATATTCTCTGCACCCATCCTAACAATTACAGTAATTCTTCCCGGCTTGTTCATTGGATTTAGAATCTCAATGATGTTAACTAGCTCCTTTGGATCCATCTTCTGGCTCACCTGCAATTACACATTATTTTAGGATTAAAGAAATGCAACATAAACTAGTTTCCTGATATCACAGGACGACATCATCAATATGTAGACGCAGCTCAGAGTACAGGTGGATCATTTTTTGCTTGAGAATTTGAAGATCCATATTGCCTTTAATTGCTTGAGAAAATATTCAATGTAACATTATCCTTACTGCTACTCATAACACCAAATTTAAAAATTAGTAGTGTTGAGCAATCTAATTTAAAAAATTTAATTGCTTGAGCAATCTTTTGAAGATACTTGCTAAAAATTTAATAAACATGGAAGAAAAAATTAGTAATGCTGATTTTAAAGCTGAAATGTACTTTAAAAGTTTCTCGCAACATCTGCCCAATGTCCCCCACCTATGTGTCAGTCCATCACTTCTACAAGGTATAAAGTTGCGCATGGAACAGCCACACATATAGCATAGTATAACACCAGAAATAGCAGACAACAATACAATGGAAATTTTACCCCCTCTTTGGTAAATTGGAGGGAGACAGATCTAGCTTACATACTCTGTTGATACTATAACAACTAAGGGTTACTGGGAAACCAATTACATCTGATAAAAGTGTTGTCTATGCACAAGATTGCCATATATAATAAACCATACTGCAAACAGAGCCAAATGAATCAGCTACTTGAATTTCTTTTATGCAAGAAAAATGGGAGACAATTCTGGGGCAGGGAGGCAAATTCTGCTTCAAATTATTTCCTAGACAATTCCAATATTTAAATAGAATAAGCACCACGCATACCTCAGTTCCAAGGGGATTAGCACCATAGTTCAATCAGTTTATAAAGTTTTTAAAGAGAATAAACACCATAGATACCTTAATGCCAAGAGGATTAGCAACTCCTCTTAAAAATTCTACGTGGGCACCATCCAGTTGCCTTGTGCGCTCTCCAACCCAGAGCATGTGAGCAGAGCAATCATAGAAAAGTCCAGAAGTTGAATCCTCCCTGGTAAGTGCTTGCTCATAAGGTAATAGTAAGCATTCGTGGGATGTCCAAAATTCAGTTGATGACATGATAGGGTGGTCAATAGTAAGTCCGGCAGCAGCCATGAACCCTAAGGCTTCATCAACCCTGTGAGCCAGTTCTTGATACCTGCCAAACAATCCAGTAGCACACATAACATGTTAAGAAAGTTTGAAGGACAGTTCCAAGTACAAATTGCCATATGCACTAAGTCTGACAAAGTAGATGCTAAAATGGTTGAAGGGCTTCTTGTCTGAACCATATAATTCCTCCATCTTCTAAAAACTTAGTCAAAAAAAGAATTGAGAATGCCAAGAATTGGTAATCTGAGATGTCCTAAAACTTCTCTCTGTTCCTAAATTCTTTCACACACCTATCTCCCTGTTCACTGTGCTCCACAAAATCAAGATTCCACTCCGTGACCCTCTGCATTGCAGCATAACCACCAGTAGCAAAGGCCCTTAGAAGATTGAGAGTTGCAGCAGATTGGCAGTAGGCCCTTATCAATCTCTGAGGATCTGGAAGTCTCGATTTCTCATCAAAAGCATCACCGTTGATATTGTCTCCCTTATAACTAGGCAGCTTTACACCATCCTTCTCTTCAAAAGGGTCTGACCTTGGTTTTGCAAACTGTCCCGCCATTCTTCCAACCTACATACATTTAATTGTCACCACTAGTTAATACCACCAGAATCAATTTGATCTTAATATACAACAAAAATAACAATGAACTTGCAAATAGACTTGAACTTCCATCAAACAGCTATTCCATCTTCCACACACAAACCACCACCCCCCCCCCCTCCAAAAAAATAAAAACCAAAAGAAGAAGAAGAAGAAGTGGTGGCAGCATATCATAATGTTATACCAGACTCGTATGAAAATTTGAGCATAAGATAACTTTGGACACCTAAAATAACTCTTTTAAAAGTTTTCAGACATTCCTATAATTACTAGCGCTGACATTAGCGGCTAAAGACTTCTACACACTCTCCCTTTGAAGAACGCATCTCTAACTAAAAAGCAAGAAGTTCCTGTCTGACCTTTAATGTAATCATTCATATTGCAGTAGTACTAAATCTCAACTGACAATTACACTAATGAAACACAAATTTAAATACATATTCATATCCACCAATAACAAGACCAAATCAAACAATTCAAAAAAAGTGATCTTGATCGCGTACAAATACCTTAATAACAGCAAATAGAAAGAACCCATTTCATCTCCAGTAGAAATAAATAGCAGAAAACAATAAAAGCGAGATTGATTGGATATGGATAGGGATACATTTACCTTAATCACAGGCATTTGACCACCAAACATGAGAACAACACTCATCTGAAGAAGAATTCTGAAAGTATCCCGTGTATTATTAGCATTAAACTCCTTGAAGCTCTCAGCACAATCCCCACCTTGCAACAAGAAAGCATTCCCCAACGCAGCCTCAGCAAGCTTCTCCTCCAAATTCCTAGCTTCACCAGCAAAGACCAATGGAGGATAAGCCTCAATAATTTCAAGAACCGATTTCAACTCTTCTTGATTTGGGTACTCAGGCAGCTGCAAAGCCTTCTTGGTTTTCCAGCTATCCACACTCCATTTCCCTGGTCTAGCCGCCACAGATGGCGCAGCCTTGGTAGCAGCAGTGGATGTAACAGGGGTCTTAGCTGGCTCCGACGCGTGAACGGCAGAAATGGGGTGGCGGATTTTGGGTTGCGGGAGGCTGTTGGCGGTGGAGCTTGGGAGGAGGAAAGCTAAACTGGGCTGATGGGGTTGGTTGTAGGAGGGAAGAAGTGATTTTGAAGCTAAAGCTGAGGTGTTTGATAAAGCCATTGTTTTTCTCCCTGAATTTCTTCAGAAATTCTTGCTCTTTTTGTTCAAGAAATCAGGGAGGAAATGGCGGCAGAGGAGGAGGAGGACGAGGACGAGGACAGTGGCTGGTGGCTGGCTTTATAAAAGAAGAGGAAGAGTTTTGGAGGGTTTAAATAAATGATGAGATGTGTTTCGTTGGCAGAACTGGGGGGAGTCAAAGGCGCCTGAGGGAGTTAGGTTTGGCGGGGGCAGCTACTACCACGTGGGAACCAACGGCCCTTTGGCCTGTTGGCTGTTACAAACGTTTTAAGTCTTGGTAGGATAAAAGATTAAGGTTTTAAATTTTATCACTGTATGTGACTTTTTCCAAGTTCATATGAGCATGCAGTGTATTTGTCTTGCATCAATGTGTTACTATTGTCACTATAACTAATTTCTTCCAAATTTATATGAGTATGTAATGTACTTGTCTCCTATCAATGTGTCACTATACGTAACTTCTTTCAAATTCATATAGGCGTGCAATATACTCGTCTAATTAGATGGTGATTCAGTCCCCATCCATTTCTCTAGATCTCATTTTTTTTAGATCCCATTAAGTCTCTTCCCTTCCAAGGTAGGTTAGGATAAGAGTAAGAATAAGAGTAAAATTAGATTAGATTAACTATTGCCGTCTAAAAAAAAAAAAAAAAAGTTACTAACACACGAGTAAATGAAGAAAATGAATAGGGGTATCATGGTATATTCCTTAAAAGTTTGGCAAAATGACCAAAGTGGACCTTTACATTTCAAAAAATTCTTTTTTTGATCTCTTACACATAAAATCGTACAAGATAATTTCTCCTATTAACCTATGCACCATCTTGATCCTATAACCTATGCCCAATTAAATTTGCACAAAAAAGAATTACACCCTAGCAACGTGATCATCCTTTTAGGAGTAAAATTAAAGCATGATTAAAATCTCCTTTAAAAATAAGTCACACGTACAATCACCCTCTTCCGCTTTTCTCACATTCGCTCACCACCACCTTCACTTCTCATCTTCTTCCCACTAACTTGCTGCCCTCTTACATTTTCATTGCCAACATCTTAGGAGGGCGATTTTAGGAAGGATAGAGGGGCAAATCGATAGAAAGAAGATTTGGCCTTCAAAGACCAAATTTAGGAGAGATTTTGGAGTAGGAGAAGATGGGTTTGGTGAGGGAGATGGAAAGGAGGAGGGGGAAGGGATCAAGGGAGAGTGGTGGGAGATAATTGCAAGTTAGTTGGTGGGAGACATGTTTTTTAAGCTTGAAATTTGGTCAAAAATAAGTTCTAAAACTAAATTGATACATTTTTTATACGTAAAAGACTATTTTACAGCATTTTATATGCAAGGGACCAAAAAAGATTTTTTTTTTTTTTTGGAAATGTGAAGGACCATTCTAATAATTTTTCTAAAATTTATTATATTACAACATTTAGATTGCCAAAACCCGGTCAAATCATGAGAAAAACGACCAATCAAATGATAACATTTAGTCAATTTAATTTATTTTTATGTATATCGAAAATAACTAATGGCTTACATGTATGAACTATGATGTTGATATTTATACATACACCGTAAAATTATTTTGATTTTCTGTCATATATATATATATATTTTTTTTTTTCAGAGCTCAATTTATTTAAGTTCCCTCTAATTCAGTCTTTCAATTGATATACATGAGAAAATGCTTGTTCAACTTCAAAGTTCAAACACTGCATGGGCGTATAGTCTAATCATTCATGCACTGCCGCAAATCTTCACCCGCACATGGAAAAAGTGAAATAAGCCCATATGTACATTAAGAATTTGTCCCTCTTCCTACCAGTATCCATCACCATGGGACCTTCTCCTGGGATACCGCACCGCTCCGACGACACCTTTTGCCTGCTAGTTTTCTTTGCAGCATGACATTTTTGGCCATAGCTTTCCTGCACCTAAAAATCTATCCTGCTTTCTCACTTTTGGGACCATTTGTCGGCTGAACCTTTAGCACTCCTATCATTTTTAATTGACATATAGGTATTTTCCAATATTCGAAAATCAGCTGCATCAATATATCTATTTATCTTATTGTTTCTCCGAGTTTCTTTTCAAACTAGAGGTGGGCTGGAGTTTTTCATGCGTTTGGCATTCAAAAGAAATTCTATATGAATCAATGAAATACTTAGGAGTATGATCGTAAGCAATAATTGGAAGAATGGTGATGTTTTTGAAAGAGCAATAATTCTTCTGCTGTGGACTATGGAGACTGGAGAAGATGTGGCTTTGATTGGAAGGCGTGGAGCCATGAATCACACGAAATCTTGTCGTTGAGTAGCCTTCCTCGGCCCTCCCCTCGTACGGGAACTGATTTCCATTCGTTGATCAAGTGACCTCTGAGTCCCTTCAAGGGTCCCTTGATCTTATTCACAATCCATGTGCCCATCTGAATCAATTCATACAAACAAAACAAAAGAAATAAGAATGTGCCCAGTTGGATCCTTTTCCCTTGGGCGTATGAATGATTGCATGGGAATCACGTGAGAATCGCTGTGGATGAATTTTCTACAAGGTCCATCTTGTACTGCACCCACGGTTTGCTGTCGTGGATCATGGTTACGGTCTCGGTTGTTTCATATCCGTTACGATATATTGGTTGAATATCAGGCGATACGCACATTATAACACATAAAAATTTTTAAAAAATCTGAAAAAAATTATTAAAATTAGAAAATACCAACAAAAAAAAAAAGCTAAATCTGAAAAAATTTTCGAATTGACTCCGAATTGATTCAGATATATCAGCCGATACCATGCATTACGAATTCTGATCGATTAATTTCGATCGAGTTAGAGTAAGTTGCCGCGAATATATAGTAATATCCGCGATTCGAAAATGAGTATCGTATCGATCCCCTCCATTCCGATTAAGCCGATTCGTATCGGAATCGGCCAATATTGCTAACCATGACTGAGTCTGCGACAAAAGCTCTACATGGAATTCAATTAAATTAATGCTTGGGACACATTGTCCTTCCCTCTAGAAGAGGTCTCATTCAAGAAGCACGCATGTAATTCACATTTGCCACACTGCTTTTGATTTTTCTGGTGTAGCTCATATTTTCTTCCATTTTTGCTCATTTCATTTGTTTCTCCACCATCACATGATTCACATCTACATCAGAAGTCAAGCTTCGACAAACCCGTACTGAACTCTACCTAGAATCGTCATTCATGCAAATAGAACTTTTTGTTCACTGGTGCTGAGATGATCATATTCCTTGTTCTGTTAATTGATTTCTTAATTACTTGCTGTTTGAAGCAATCCTGAAGAAGTATAACATTTCCCAAGTTGACATTATAGTTAATCAGTAAGTTGAAGGCGCCATGGATTTACCCAAATTTACATAGTTAATTAGTTTTCTCTTTGATGACGACAGGATTCAGTATTCCTGTTTAGCTTGGAATATCCTTCTAGCCGAGGCATGAAGGTCAAGTAGATAAATTCACGTGGCTGCTTCTTCCAGACCTTTTCGAAGCCATTTTTCATGCACTTGTTAAAATTAAAGAAGTCATAACCCATGCGCATCACAACTTGTCTTCCACATGATCTCCATAATGGTCTCTAAAATAATTAGGGACTATTCATTAAAATCCAATAGTAGTACTAGTTGATGAAAAAAATAATGAATTGATTTTTTCTAGACTAACAGTGTATATATAGTGGCAATACAAAACTTAAAGTTCGAATTAAAATTGAAATTAAGTGACTTAAATTCTAAATCCCCTAATATATATATATATATTATTAGTGTAAAAAAGATTAATTGAAAAGAGAATGGCACGCAAATTTAAAAGTACATACTATACATGCACACTAGCTGCATTTGCAATGGTATTAGAACACTAATAATATATATCTTGCATATTTTATTTCACGAAAAGTGTTACAGTATTATTACAAAATTAATTACGAATAATTTCAAATCCTCAAGCTCATGTCAGCCTAAAATTTGTAGGCTAAAACAAAATCTTGGAAAAACTTCGAGGACTCCTAGGTGAATAACCCTTCCATAAAGAGCGCAGTTTAATGTACTTAAACGGGAAAGAGACTAACGTGCACCTACCGCCTCACTCGGGCGCCAATTGTTGAACTCATCGAACCTAATCTGTCTCTCTCTCTCCGCCCTGCCATCTCACTCTCAGCTCAGTTCAGCCGTTTTCCTCCGCAGCTTATCACACCATGCATTACCAAGTCCTCCATTTCTCTTTTTCCTGTTTCAATCTTTAACTAATTACTTCAGCTGAATTTTCATTCCCATTATCCATAACCAATTGTTTCAAATTTTCACTATTCCAATCCCCAACAAAGGATAAAATAACATGTCACTGGCATCAAGAAACCTATTGACTAGCCCAAATTCCCGAATCAACACTACAATCAACACCTCCAAAACCCATCTCAGAAACCCGAGACTTCCCCTTTTATCGTATCCAAAACCCTTCTTAAACCCCTCAAGATTCCATGCTCAAAAACCCCATTTCCTGAAGTTTGCTACATTTATACCACCAATCCAGAACCATACCTGGTCCATCCAGGTTAAGTCCTTGGACTTAGATGGAACTGTAGGGGAAGAAAGCCGAAGTGAGAATCCTGCCAACTGGGATGTCAATTTTGATGCATTTCTTTCAATTTTGGAGTTTTTCTGCTTGGTTTCGTCCATCGCGATTTCGGGCATTTTAGCCGTGAATTCTGGATTTTTGGGCGGTCAAAGGATGGTTTTTCAGTGGTTGGGAGAGAAGGGGATGGTGTGGCAATGTGTGGTTTTGGTTGCTGGAGTTTTGGTTGGGGCGGTTATTCGGAGGAGGCAATGGAGGAGGATTTGTCAAGCGAAGTATTTCTCGAGGCCGGTGAATTTAGTGGAGAGAATTGAGAAATTAGAGGAGGACTTCAAGAGCTCGGCTACAGTTATCCGGGCTTTGTCTAGGCAGCTTGAGAAGCTTGGAATCCGATTTCGGGTTTTTAGGAAGGCCTTGAAAGAGCCCATTGCTGAGGTATTGATGTTATATCCTTAACGTTTAGTGTTTCTTGTCAATTTGGATTACAAATATGGTAATGTGACATGGCTAAAGGTTCCAATAATCTTTTATCTAGTTAATTACTGAGTTTCTTGGATTAAAGGGGGAGAGAATTTGTTATAATTTGTTGCTGAGGGTAATGAATGCATGCAAATGTTGTAGAGTTGTAGTTTGAATTGGTTATTATATCACTCATATGAGCCCTCGAAAAATGAATTCTGGTTGAATTACCTGACTTACGTGGTAGCTAATGTTTGTGCGGTGTATTGTTTCCATATGCTTATTTACACGTTAAAATACTATGATATGTTTGTAGAACTTGTACCTTTTTCTTTTGTGCTGTCACCCAACTAAAATGTTAGCAGAAATTTGTGATTAATGTGTGGAGAATTCTATTTCGTCTAGAGTAGGTCTGGAAATTCACCTTTCAATCATTAATTTGTTGCTCAAGTCGTTGGAAGGAATCTACGTGTGTTTAATGTTCTATAAGCAGTCAGGTGACTTGTCTTTTTCTTCCCTGGTTATGGCTTGGAGTGGACTTGTAAGGCGGAATTCATGGAGGCTCTTGTGAACCTTTTTGCATGCAGAACATGAGATAGAATGTTGTGGAATATAAGACATTGGCCTGTCTTTTGGAATTGAAATGTGGCCTCCTTTTTGTTGGGAATTGCATTTGTTTGATAATCGATTCCAGTGATTTTGGTAATTTGGTCAGTTGTGAGTCGAGTAAGCTCCAACTTAGATCTTTTAAGTATATCTGATTTGATAAATTCATTATCCCACATGATTTATTTGATAAATTCATTATCCAATATAATTTGTCTTCAATTTAAAAGCAGCTGGTTGGAGTGTTGTCCTTTGTAGACATCTAATTTCGGCGCCTACAACTTTCTGTCATTTTTGTTTGACACTTAATTATGATTATGGCAAATATGTCATCAAAACAGAGTAGTCATCTAGATTTGAAACTTTTATGTATCATTCTGACATGTCATAGGGGCAGAGTTTGAATCATGTTGCATCATACTGTACATATGCTTCCTTCTCTCGGGTCAACAGTTTATGCAAGAAGTTTATCTCCTAAGTTTTGTTATTGGCTTCACCTGTGTAGACTGCTGCATTGGCCCAAAAGAACTCTGAGGCAACTAGAGCGTTGGCCATTCAAGAGGACATTCTGGAGAAGGAGCTTGGTGAAATTCAAAAGGTTCTGCTGGCAATGCAGGTAAGCTATTCTGTGTATTTTCTCAAGGTCATCTTTGTCTAATAAACTCCACATGAATTTCTGAAATGAATACCAGAAATAGGCTAAAGTTGACATAGTTGCATGTGGAAAGCAAAAGATGCATCTAGTGATGCCATTGAAAGGCTTTCCAATTCCATAAAGGTGGCTATAAATCACTTCTAACAGCCCTCGGCTACTGATAAGACTAAAGAAAGAATACTGCAGCTAACAACAAAATAGATTCCGAGCGACATGCACTAACATTCGACTGCTCTTACCATGTCCTATTGCCAACTCAGCAAACTTGTTTCCTAAGTTCATTTTTTTTTTGGGCAATTTCCCGGTTACTAAGCTTGCTTGCTTTTACTTCTCATCTTTACCCCTTAGTTTCCAGTCTTATAAGTGTGACTATTTGGTTATTTGTGCTCAAGAATGTCCCAACTTACCTATAATTGTCCAGAAGAGAAAACTTGGACACATATTTTTGTGGTTCTGCCGCTTTGATATTCCTTACCTTTTTGTTACAACTAATCCTGTTGCTATTTTATTTCTTTTATGTTGCCCGTAGATACTTTATTTTATTTTTTCCCTTTTTTTTCATGTAGACAGAAATTAACACAATGAAAAGAAAACAGCACTCATGCTATATGACAGTTGGACCACGATAGTAAGATTGATAGAAATCTTGTTGAAAAGGTGTCCAAATAGTATTAGTAATAGCTGCTCCCTCCTCCCTAAACCCAGGGAGAAAGGAACAACAAAGGAACCAAGACACAGAAACTCACACAGACTTTCATGTACATTCAGGATCAAGTAAAACGCTTTGTAACAATAATATCAGACACAAGCAGATTGGCATTATTTTCAGAATATTATGGTACCTACTTTCATATGCGAGTTTGAACTGACTGGAACTGCATTGCTTTGTTTTCTTCTGTAGGAGCAGCAACAAAAACAACTGGAACTCATCCTTGCAATTGCAAAAAGTGGAAAATTATGGGATACCAAGCGGGAAGAGAATCATGGAAATAATACACCTGCTGCATCTAATTCAGTTGTTGACGGTGTCCAACAGTTGGGGAAAAACCAAATCCAAGCCGTGGCTGGTCAGAAAGAGAGCAACAATGATAATATGTAGTAGATGTTCCTGGCAGTAACCAGAAATGGACATGCCCGTTTTGTTCATAGATGAAATCCAGATACTGGGCCTTGTTTAACTGAAGCAGTTGAAATGCCCTTCTGGCATCTGATCTTCGTGGAAGGATGGATATCCTTACTTTCAATTACCCTGCAACAAGTATTTGACTGCATGGTTCAAGGAAGAAGAGGTTATAAAAGATAGAAACAGGAAAACTGAAATGTGTTAGTGTAGTTCTTTTGAAGAAAGCATTGTAACAACTAACAATACATGATTCATTCATGGAACTTTTGGATTATTAATTTATCAAACTTTGTAAAGATTTCGCTTGCTCATATATCAAGTGCTTTGGCCTTTTATCCTTCATTTTTCTTCCATTTTTTTTTCTCATTGATTCGGAGTAAAGGGTCCTGTCTCCCATGGTGGTTTGGAAGAAAACGAGTAATGGCAGTCTTGATGAACCTTTGTCCACTTTAACTGAACTCCGTTATTTTCAGCTGCATTCTATCTTTTCATTGAGACTAAATTATTGGCCCTATGTTTTGTTTCTCATGAATTCATTAGAGAATTTGCCTGAGTTGCTTCATGGCACACTGAACAATAGACCGTGGGTTAAGGGAGCTGGTCAAATAAAAATATTTTTGTGGCCATAAAGGTCAACTTTTTTGTACGGTATTTTAAAGGCCCGCTTTTTCAGTTAAGTGATCTTTTTAATCATAAAAATAATTGGATGACTAAACCCATGTTATTTTGAATAATTTAGTGATTATTTTGATCATTTACTTTGTTTGGAACAGGGGTGTTTCACGAATCGAGCTGCTCGCGATCGAATACGAGCTCGACTCGAGCTCGTCAATATCGAGCTCGAACTAATTAAGTCGATCTCGAACTCGAGGTCAAAAACATTAAGTTCGTTGGCTCGCGAGCTCAATTATATATATATATATTTTTCTTTTATTTTTTATTTTAATAGTAAAATTACATATATATCCTTAATATTTTATTATTTGTTAAAAAATTATTATTTTATTCATTTTTAAAAATAAATATTTATTTTTTATTTTTTAAAAATAAAATAATAATTATTATTTTTTTATTTTTTAAGTTCGAATTTGATATTTTGAACTCGTCGAGCTCGAGTTCGAGTTCGAGCTTCACAAAATTAACTCGAGCTCGGCTCGATTAGCCAAAGTTCAACTCGAGCTCGGCTCGTTTGCACCCCTAGTTTGGAATAATTTTGTTATAAAAATACACTCGGTGTTTTTCAAAAAAAAAAATACTACTTTAAATAATTTAATGATCATTTTGACCATTTATTCTATTTGAAATAATTTTGCTATCCAAATACATTCGATGTCTTTCCTTTTTTTTTTTTTTTTTTTTTATAAAAAAGATGTGTAAGCGGCTTCACTTCCCATCAGGCCATCACGATCCCGAGTTAGGGCATTGCTTGCGATTGGGATTTGATTGCCTACGAAGATAAGTCTTTATACCTGAGATACCTTTTACGAGGGAATGCCCGTCCTCACGATCCAACATGTGTTAGTGTAGACTGAAGATTTTGAAAAACAATTCAAGGGAGTCACTTTGTCGCTGAAAAAACACGAGAAAGGAGGAGATACATTCTGTGATACAGTCTGAGTCATAGTAGTTGGTGTTGCATAGAAGGAATGGAAGGGCTAAGGGAGCTGGAAAGGGTGCAGAGAATTATCGAGCTGATGGAATCCCATGGCATCTTGAACCCCAACAACAACATTAATCCTGACTCCAATCGTTTCCTTGCAAATTTCACCCACTTCTTGGTAAATTTTTGCCTTAGCTTTCCCCCAGTTGTCGTCATTCTTAGATTTTCTGTTCTCCCATTTCGTCTACACTCTCTACATTGAGACTCTTGCATGTGCTGTCTAGTGAATTCGGTCCCAACAGGGTACCCCAAATTGTTGAAATAAATTTGTTAATTTTGGTCTTGAAGTTCTCGAAATTAAAAAAAGGAATAAGTAAACATAATCCCTTGGTAATCTTGTATCTTGTTTGCATGCCTAGCTGATAGCTTTAGTGTCTCCCTCTAGTTAGAGCGAAGACGATGCAGAAAATTAGTAATGATAGGCTTATGGGCTTGTAGGTTTGTTAAATGGGCAAAGCCTGGGTACGATGCTATTGGAGTTGCGCTTGTGGCGCCTTCTTCTTGGATTAGACGAATTCCTGTTGTTGTTCATGTAAAAGCCGTAAAGATCAGAACTTTTTTGGTTCCTGTTTAAGGGAAAAGGTTATTGGTTAGAGCTTGTTTTTAAGTTCAGTTTTTTGTAAGATTTTTCTGGAAGTGGATCAGCCTAACTGCACTAGGTAATGGCCATTCGCAACGTGTACTGTGACTTACTAGGAGGATGGGCAAGCTCTTGCATGGAGTATATGAATTGTTGTATGATGGCTTGATTGTGAGTCATATTGTACTGGATGTGGTAAATATGCTGAAATGGGTGGTTATGAGTCTATAAAAGTTATTTCCTGATCAACGTGAAATCTTTGCCGTTAACCAAGTCCGAATGAACCAGATAATATTAACCAACAATTTCTCTCATTAAAGTTTGCGTGTCATTTTTCTCTTATTTTCCATCCATTAAAAAGTCTCAATTTGTTTCACCTGTTTGTTTCATTGTTCTCCCCTTGTGACCTTGAATCAATTTGGTGAAGGTTCAAACTTGCAGCGAGCTTGACATGGAAATCAAGTGCCAACTGATTTCAGAGTATATGACAAAGGTTACTTTTTTGTGTTGTATGATAACTTGCCTAAGCTTCTTTGGGTGATCTAAGGTTAGAGTAAATGGGATGCAAGAACTCTGCTTATGCTTGTGATTATCCTTCTGACAGATTTCAACTTTATTTCTGGAGGAAGCACTGCAATGTATTGGGGAAGAAGGTAAAGTTTTCCAGTTCTACTCTTTAACATTTTTTGTTTGTAGGCCATCTTCTTATGGATTGTGCCCTCAGCTTCATTACACAATGGAGCTGAGTTTAGGCCATAAATGACCTAAATGAATCTGAAAAAGATCGTATGTATTGATTGTCTGAAACTTCTGCAAAATGTCACTTTAAATAAAAAAAATAACTTGGTCAATTTTGTCCTTTTCAGATGATGAAATTTGCCGTTGAAAGGGGCAATGAGTTTGACAATGTATTCAGGTCTTATTGTTTGATGGAATAGACTTGATTCTCATTCTGCTTTTAATGGAAAGATAAACATACATACAAGTTTGGTAGACATTCTCATTTCATAGACAAAATAAAGCTGTGCAAACAGCATGAAAACCATTTACTTCCAAGTAGCAAATTTGTGACTCAACGTAAGTTGCCTATTTTACCATTATGAGACCTGAGCTAAACTACTTCTTGGAAGGGATATAGGGTATATCTTGCGGGTTTATTAATTCTTCCTGCAAATGACTTGGCTGACTATGTTTTAATTTGTAGGTAATGAACATATTGGAAATGCTGTGCCAGTACATTGTGATGATGAGCAAAATGTTGATCCATCACAAGACAACTTCCTAGATACTGCTGCAATTGGGCTGGACTCCATGCTTCGAGCAAATTCTACATTGGAAGATTTTGTAAGCAATATTGTTCTTTGTTATAACCAAACCATACAATCTTTAGCAAAAGTCCTTTTTTAGTGCAGAAGGGTTTAAAATTTATTCAGGCTGTTTTTACTTTATGCCATATATGAGGATCTGCTTGTTCTCGCAATGGCAAGACTTTTCCTTAAGGATTGTCCTCAACATTGTTGGACTGATGGTAACGATGAACAGTGTAGGTCATATTTTATGTTTCATAAGATGGATGTTCACCAGCCGCAGTTAATATTCAAATACTTACCAATACTTTCATTTACAGAGAGTTACATTTATCAGGTAACAGAGCAACAAAATGCAACTCTCTCTCTCTCTCTCTCTCTCTCTCTCTCTCTCTCTCTATTTTCCCTTACTATTTCTGGCTTATATTCTGCATTTTGGTGTGTACATTAACTTGGGACTCCATACATTGTTGGTCCATTTACCTGTACAATAGCTGCTCACTGACTTGCTCATATGTCCTAAATAAAATGTCAAGCTTCCTTACATAGTCCTCTACCCTTTTTCAGAATGGAATACGATAATATCAACAAATCATTATGACATGAAAAAAATTGCATTACTTTTTCCAGTAAATGTGAATGTGCCTACTGCTTGGTACCTATAAATGTGAAAAGTTGTGACAGCAATTGTTCCAATTTTTAGCTACTATGAGTAATGTGTCAATTATGTACCTGAATAGCATAGTGAAAGCCAACATTAACTTTAAAGTATGGGAAAGAACTCTTCTATAGGGATGATAATCAGCACATAGGTCTAATCATGTGTTGTGTAAATCTGCAAGTCAAACTGGACTGAGCAAGTTCTACCTTAAGACATCATGCTAACTCTGATTACAAGGTTTTGGAGGATGCTTGATTTTCTTTTCTCAGATTTTGGGCTAGACAAAGTGGAAGGGTATGATAGCTGTAAACAGTTCTTTGGCTTGGTTCAGTTAAAGTCAAGTTTCAACATGCTGCACGATTACAATTAGTTTTCTCGACAAATAACTGATGCTGTTAAAAAGGATTTTAGTTCCATAATATGTTTCATTCTTGCTTCCTATGATCTTGATTTTGAATTTACAGTTGGATACTTTGAATGAGAAGCTACTTCAGTCACCAGCTTACGGAGTTCAGCTTGGGGAAATAGAATCCTATGTGGTAAAACCGCAATTTAGAAGATCTTTGTACCACGTTATTTTCAGGATTTAGGTTAAAAGCTTGATTTTCACTGTCCTTTGGTGCAGGGTTGCCAAACAGAGGGAAGAAGGGCAATCAGATCCTTGAAGATGTTGGAAGCTGACCCATTTAAACCACTTCTTATCCTACTTGAGCATCAAGGCCTTCTCACGGAGCGGTCTATAGCTATTTCTGTTATGATTTTTGTAGTTTCCTTTATGTTCCCTCTCCTCCATGTGGGTTCTTAAAGAGTATTCTAAAGGTTTTTAGAATCGTAAAGGTTATATTGCCCCCTCCTTTTTTCAGGATAAGAGAAGAACTTTGGTCTGGGGTAGAGTACTGGAGTCTTGAAAGAAAACTATGTTGTCATCCCTTGAGTGGAAGTGAGGTAAATTTAACAAGTACATTCTATATTTTGACAAATAAAGTTTTGAGACATTTTCCTTTCCTTGTTTGACTAAACCGGTGGCATCAGATTCTATATAGTGCAGATATCTGTTTAATACATGCATAAATTGGTAATCTATTGTATCTGATTTCTTTAATTTGAGTAATAAAGTTCTGCACTTGTGGAGATTTATTGCTATTTCTAGCATCATAAGTAGAGAAACTGGCCCCATGTATTGCAGCGTTTGTGGGAAAAGATTGATGGAATGAAAAGAGTATTTCAGGGAGATGTAAGAAAATATATTTATTAAAAAAGCAGAGAAAAATTTAAGAAGTGTTTGATGGGAAACTTCAATTTAGTTATTAATTTATTAAAATACCCCTTGGAAAGGCCCTTTACTTTAAGGGAGATGTAGAAAGAATATCAGTTGAAAACTATAATCCTAAAAGAGAAGCTAGGGGCAGAAAACTATACTTGCATGCCAAATAATGATTTCTTCATGGCGCAGATAAACATCAAATGGAGCTTATAATTCTAGCTACCAATACACTTTCTGGTCTTTGGCAGCCTGTCATCATTATTTTGGCCCCAAAGACATAGATACTTAATGAAAGCAACTTTGTTAATAAGGCTTCCAGTTTGTTCTGATTTACAAGCTCAGTTCCTAAAACCTAATACCCACACCAACTCCCCCCCCCCCCCTTAAAATATTACCATGAAAGTGCATGATATTTAATCCATTTTGGCTGCATAAAAGTCAAATGGTTATCTGCAAAGTTGTTATATAAACCAAATATTTAGGAAGAGTATCCTGACTTGGATAAGATGAATTCCAGTTTTGGACTCAGGGAATACTATCTTGCTACTTATTCTATTCTTGGAACATTTTCTTCTCTTAATATATTACAGCAAGATATATAATATCAGTATAGCCTATTATCATCAACATTCATCTTTATTATATTTATAAAACATACTCTGCACTGTGCAGAGTAGTGTAGGAGATGTGATGAGGGCTATTCATCTGAAATCCTTTGATTATCGGGTACTTAATCTGCTGCTGTATCAATTGCGGGGTGAAAAGGTACATTCCTGATTGGTATTTGGAAACTATCTTTGAACTTCCAATTCTATTCTGGCCAAAACATTATTTTACATGAATGTCCTTTCCATTTCAAGCTAGTTTATTAAGTCACCAGTTTATGAAATTTAGGCCATCTTTATCTTTGATGATATGGTTACACGTGTCACTCAAATACCTACAGTTGCTTATCTTGCTTTCAATTTCTGTGACTGGCCTTTTTTATTGTTTCTTTATCTCCTATCTTTTGATTGGAATAAATGCTGTTTATGGTAAAGATGATGAGGGACTCCCCTTGAATGATTAATTTACTCAAACTATCAATTGTTTCTTCAGGAACTGTTGTAGGATGAGTCATCCACCTTTCAACTTCGTTGAAAGGATATGGAAAGGATTATGAATCAAATGCTTGTGGCAATGTAATACTATTGCTGCTTTACGTTGTATTTTTCACTCTGGTCTGCTTTCTTTGAAGCTGTTATGAAGGTGAATGAATTGCATATGGAATTCCTATCAATATCAGAGTTCTTGGTTGAGCTATCCGATGATATGTGAGTAGTTTTCATGTAAATCTTAATGTTTTGTGTATAAAAAGAAATGTATAGTATTGTTATTGGCAAGATATAACTTTCCATTTTTGATGCATGGGAAGAAGCATGTGCCATGCGGTATCATTAATGGATGACAATGTGATGCTGTAGGTTTGACTATGAGGTAAATCATTTTTCTGTTGTTTTTTTCCTCTTATGCCGATTATCCTGAATATTAAAGATTGTTTTTCACTTGGTAGGATGATGTGTTGGAGAATAATTTCAATATATTGCGCATGTTTGTCAGAATATATGGAGCTTCCAGGGCACCAACCATGCTGGTGAGTAACGGTCATTATAATAAGAATACTTCCGTAAGCTCCGTGTAAGCTTATTGGAACCCTAGATTTGTGCTTGGGCTTGTAATGCCAAATATAGTTTTGAGCCATCCAATGGCATTATTAATTTTGTGTGGGTGCACGGTGAGTATTTTTCTGTTTTTGTTTTGGACTAGGAAAAGGGGACTAAACAGTGTCGTTACCCTTAGATCACGTTGGGGTATTTCCTTTCTGACCAATAGGCTATGGGATTAGCTAAAGTTTCCCATTATGAATTTATTCATTGAGAGTTAGTTATATACTGATGTGTCCATATATGTAGGACTTTTCTATTCTACCATGTATTCGCAACATAATGTTAGTATTTAACAAGGAAAGGAGAGTGAACAGACAATCCGGTGAAGTTCTTAATCCAACTTTTCGTGCTTGGTTGTTATGCCATGAAAGGGAAAATAAATGGCTGTCCTCATTTGTAGTCAGAGCATTCCCTATGTTAATTGTGTCAGTCCAACTTAGTGGCAAATCTTGCAACCACAGTTTTTGCTTCATATTTATTGCTAAGCTATCAATACATGAATTTTGTTTAGAGTCATCTTCTTGTTCTTTTTCCACAGGCAAAACGTATCACCGAAACTGAGGAGAAGTATGAGAACATGTTGAAATCTTTGGATCCTGAATTGGCCATGAATTATCAGAAAAGGTGTGAAGAAGCTACAAAAGAAGGTAAACTTCTGGTAAAATGAAATTTGTTTTGTACCAAGATCCATGCATTATTTGTCCTATTGCCTTGGGCTCTTCTCTTTTAGGTGGGAAGATATCGGGTCCTTCTCTTGGGACATGGAATATTCCAACCATAATTGAAGACGAGGATTCTTATCGATGCAAAATCTTGAATGTTAAGCCAACAACTGTAGTTCAGGCAGATGTTGACAAGTGCTATAGTTCATAATCTCAATCTAATGAGTCTGCCTAAATTGTGTAAAATTGATCCGGGACTAGTTACACTTACTGTAGACTGACTTGGACACAGAAATGGTTCTTGGTAGTTTCCCAGATTTTAACCTAGAAGTGTTTATGTTTTCCTGCTGAGGAATATTGGGATTTGGGGGACTTGGATGGCTGCCTTTGTATTCTTTTTCCAAACGTTTCCATCACTTGCTGTTTTGTGGGTGATGAAGGATTATGGGATAAAGGATTCTTGGACTTGGTAACTATGGAATTATCAGTTGATTATCCGGATGGAGTTTTGGTCCAGATTTGCATCCCCATTGGATATTCAAAGAGAAACAGTGAAATATGTTTTCAGAACGATCATGAGCTTCTATGGTATGACACTGAACAAACGATTGTCCAAAATGGGCAGTTTGGATGGTGACCCATTTATGATGACTGGATATCAATGCCTTGCCAGCCTCGTTCAGCCAAGCAAAGGAGTCGAGCGCAATCCTCGATTTTGGGAAGGAACTGATAAAGAAAACCTCCCAAGATCCCGCAGAATCGCTTACTATGGAAGTCAAGAAAAGAGGAAGAATTTCACAATCACGGCTTGCTATCAAAATGTGCTAGCTAGCAAATTATCTGTATAACTGCATTGGAATGTTTTTGGCAGTGGTTTGTTTCCTTGCTTTCGTGCTAAGCTTTTACAATTCAACTATATGTTTTGTGCTCAGATGAAGTAATCAACTTCAGTAAAATTTAGAAGATTCTTCCTTTGACAAGAACAATTATAGCGTTCAATTCATCCCCTGTTCATATCAGAATAGAAATGGATATTTATACAAGCTACACTTAACGTGAAACAGCAAAAAGTATTGTTACTATCATTTTTTTGCCACGTCCTGGTCATTGTATTATTATAATACTTCAGAGGGATAATTTCAGAAACCTCCCCTGAAGTTTTTAACAATGGCAGAGACCTCCCCTCAAGTTTATTCAATTACCCTTACCTATCTTGCTTTTACTGTTTATATAATAATATAGATACAAAAGGCTATTTTTTTTTCTCAAAAATCCTGAACTACCCTTTTTGTACAAAAATAAAATAAAAATTATTTTGCCAATTATTTTCTTATATATTTCAACCAAACCCGCTATACTAACAAACTAGCCTAGCAAATAATCTAATTCCAAATTCTCAACCTAACCAATTCCATTATCATAGGCATGGATGGGATTAATCAAGTTTAAAAGAAGGAATGCATCATTATGACTATAGAGATCTTCAAGAAATTCATTTTGCCAAAAAATTAAAATTTTATTTACAACTAATCACACCGCAAACTTCAAACCCAATGTCCACATATTTTCAAAACAAAATGATCTTTTTAACTATCAAATCTCCAAACATGTTAACATCTTAAATACAAAGAAAAAACTCCATCTCTATAATGAAATCACAACCAACAATTATCAAGTATAAAAAATATATATAAATGTACTTATTAACATCTTAAAAAGTTTTTTGAATGGATGATAGACAAATTAACAAATTTACCAATTTCAGCCCCTCTTCCTCTTTTGGGCAATGATTGCATTAATTGTTCCATTATTATTGTGTGTCTCTTCATCTCCTTTTAGTTTGACAATGAAATTGAATTTTACTTCAACCATCAAATCTAATCCCTCAACTAAACTTGTGATCTGGCAATTCTAAAGAAAAGAAAGGAGGAATAGGAATATATAGTAGAGTTTGAGGGATCACTTGTGGTATGATTTGTTGCAGTTATAGACAAGGGTTGGTAGTAATTTGAGAGCGAGTTATAAGATAAAGGGGTTGATGGATGAGAACGAAGTGATAGTAAGTGAGAGAAAATCATCGTTAATTGTAACTTGTAAATAGGATAACCGAAGAGATTAGGTTTCTTATTCTTTTTTTTTAATCTCATTTCATTATATTGTGAATTATTTATTAAGTGAAGGTCATTGTAATCATTTTATTGTGATAAGGGAGGTTAGTATAATTTGTCAAACTTGAGGGGAGCCGAGTGAAATTATCATAAACCTCAGGGGAGGTTTGTGAAATTATCCCTACTTCATATTTAAAGCCTCATCAACCTGACAGACGTAATTTTCTTCATCAAATAATTCTCATTTGATGGAAATGCCTAGATTATATGTCTATTTCATGGTAAACAAGTAGTTTATTGAACCCAGGATTCATTTTTATTTATTCATCATCAAGAAATGGCAACCGTTTATTGGCACGGAAAGGGTTGATTGAGTTTCTGGCTCTTTTTTTTTTTTTCTCTTTTGACCGAACACGATAGAATCTAATTTAGACCTACTCTTATTCTATGGTAGGGGAGGGGGTGACTCAAAGCCCAAGTAGAGCCTTAAGACTCTCTTGGGATAGTGGAAACAGCAAATGTAGTTGGTTGATTGAGTTTCTTTCTAGAGTAGTTGGTTGATTGAGTTTCTGGCTCAAGCTGGTATTGTTTTCAGTTGGGTACATTTGCTGTTTCCACTCTCTTTTTTCCGGAATCTTTTTTCCCCTGGGCTCATATTATGTGAGGCCAGTGATCATCATTTAACTAAAGTATATCCAGTGGCTTCTTCACATATTTCTTGATTTAAAAACTATAATGGATGGGGTCATAAGGGACTGAACCCTGCTCTTGATCATCCATGTTCTGCTATTTGGACTTATCCAAAAGGCATCTTTCAGCACCAGAATGACCAGGAGAGACCAAATGCATGCAACAAGCCTGTATAGTGATGCGGCTGTGAAGCCTGTGATATAATGAATCACAGGTTTCGAATCTTCTCCTACCATTTTGGCTTTTTGACATGGCCAACGCTGCAGGGAGCCACGTTCCTTATCTTTTCTTTGACTTGTAAGGTTCTATCGGCTGTTTGTACATGCAAGTTTATAAAGTTCCATGTAGATATGGACATACAAACTCTCTCTCTCTCTCTCTCTCTCTCTTCCTTTTGGGTCAAGTGACGTGGGTTCTTGAAGAGCTTAGAATGTAATCCATGGATTAGGTTAGTCGACTATCATCTAGATTTGGTATAATTCTCATCACTTGTAGCCTCCAATATTCATGTGGTACCAGATGGGTACAAAATCAGTGGCAATACGAATATGTAGACAATTGAAAAAAATTTCTAGAAGATTTATAGTCTATTTGCAATTAGCGACCAAACTTGGTGCATCCATGTCGTCATGATGACTAAGTTAATGATATGCTTTTTCTGTCGCATGTAATCACCATCAGAGGTTGATGCGGTAAGTAGAATCATTAAGTTGAAATTTTTAACCAGCTTGTCACTTCTAGAATAAGCTTGAGCTATTTGCCATTCAATCTTTTATAAGTCATGGTGATTCGGTCCCTCCCCCCACCCCACCCCCCATTTAGGCAAGGAGGGTGGTGGGTAGGGGTTCAAATTGAAATTGGATTTGGTAAGTGTCCAAGCTTGTTAGATCTGGCCTGCTTAGATTTTTTCCTTTTGATAAAAGAAAGTTTGGATGAGCTCAACTTCGATCACCATTACGGATCATGACATGTTTTCAAAATCATAGGTTATTTATGTAAGTTCTTATGGATGATGGTTCATTGACACAGCACTCAAATCGATAGCAGAATTTGAACACACGATCTTTTATGAGAAAGTAATATATTTTTATCAACTGAACCAACTTATATTGACTGGCTCTACTTACATGGGAAGGTTGTGCTGGGAACAATGGTTTTTGATGATGAGAATGTACTAAAGAATCAAGACCTGTGGCTTCTGAATAGAAAAAATTGAACATCTCTACCGTGTCTTCTTCTCCAACTCCTCCTACGCATCCAAATCAGTGGACCACATTTAGTATATATCACATACCCGTAACCATATAGACATCCTCTTTTGATTTTGCAGTTTTCCCTTAAACAGATGCTTCTATTCAGAGTACCATCCAGTCTACAAAATCCCGTGTTTTCTTTAATCTTGAGGGTCCATTCCACTCAAGTTTCATTTTTAAGCATCTCAGCATTGTAAAGCAATCAAATCACTATAAATCAATGAGATGTCTTTAGTGGGTATTTTTATTAATCACTTTGATTTGGTGCAAATCAAATGACTTTTGCCGAAAGAAACTCATACCTACTTTCAATAAATTCAAAGACGTCTAATCTTGCACAAGATATCTAATCTCTCACTCAAGAAGATTAAACATACTTTACAAGAAGTCAATGCTCAATATTTCATGATCCATTCACTTAAGGTCCACTGGCTTAGACAATCAGTGAGCATAGACATGACAGATTTCTTGCGGATTCAACATGCTGTCTATTCTTCTACGTGTAGCTATCTGGTTACACATCCTTCCCCTTTCTTCTCAAGGAGTTTGGCAGGAAACTGTAAGTTGCAAAAACCAGTTTGTTAAGCAGCTTCACAAAATCGAGAAGCAAAAACCAGTTTGTTAAGCAGCTCAATAGTTCTTTATTTGCTGAACTCCAAGAAACTCAGAAAGAGGCCAAAAGTCAGGCAGAGAAGAGCCATTGTATTATTGCTGTGATAGAAAGTTTTTTTGTAGAAGAGCAGTATCATATGAAGCCAGCACACGCATCTTATATTTACATCGTAAAGGAAGCAGAAAAACTTCATACAAGCAGTAATACAAGCAGAAACTTTGGTACCATGACCCAGAAAAACAACCATAAAAACTCTACACGCAGTTGAGCACTAACTGACATATATCAACTTCAAGGAGATTGGGGCCAGTCATATCCAGCATCCATTGCCTCGACATCATCGTAAAACCACATTTCAACGTCCTCGATTTGTTGCTCATCTCCCCAATAGCCATCACTTATTTCATCATAATCATCGCCCATGCCAGCAACAAAATCCCAGGCTAAGTAGCCTGAAGAACCAGAGTAATCTGAGCAACTATCCCAACCATTCATATCATAATAATCTACAACATTGGGACCAACAAGCTTCAATCTTGGGAATTTCTTCACAAAGTTCTCATCAAGATTTACATTGAAACACCCTCGCACATCCAGTAGTTCTAGCTGTCTGCAGTTTGTAAGAATCTCAATCACACTGCTTGTGCTTACAAGCAGGTAAGCAATCTCAAGATGCTTGAGTTTGGGCATTGTTGATGCAATGGCAAGTGCTTCATCATCTTGGGAGAGTTTGTCAATCACCTCTAGTGGGTGCATTATTCGACGTAACCCTGTGAGAAATTTGCAGTTCTTTCCTATTGCTTCGAGTGCTTCTGCTCCGATCTTTATGCAGTAGCTCAAATCCAGAAAAGTTAAAGTCGAGAGCATCGCTGCAACTTGTTCCACTATTGAGTGGCTAATTTGACTTCTTGGCAATCGCAGCGTCTGTAAACATTTAGCACTTGCAACCACACAAAAAGAAATGTCAAGAGACCCTTCTACATCATAGTGCAACACAAAAAAGCTTTTTGAAAAAACTAAGAGTTAAGGGCTCTTGCCCAGTACTCAGATTTCAATTGTCAAAACACTACCTTGATTCTTCATATAAAGCTGCAGCTTTTTGTGAATTTTAACAACTATGGTCTGCCTTGGCTAAAAGGGTACAACATTAGGGGGAATAATGTGAGAGTAACAATTACACATCCACTAATGACGGCTTATCTCTGAGACTCCAAAACAACGAGTTATGACTTCATTACACATATCAATTGTTCAAGTATGTTCACCTTCTTGCAATTCAGTACCACTTGCAAATTGACACCCAGTGCTAGTTTTGAACTCTCTTAAAGGATTGAGAAACTAATATGGTCAAAAAGAAAAAGACAGAGCACAGACAAACATTTAAGCAGGACATTAGAATTCAGAATGTCTAACTACTAGAACCCATTTTGGAGATTCACATGCAGTCAACTATGTCTCAGCTCCAGAAGAACCAAAAGAAACTACAATACATTTTTGCTGGTGACTAAAATAAGTTGCACTCTGAAAATTTTTGCCTTCTGAATCAAGTGTGGAAACATGGTAAACTGGATGCCATTCAATGATGAACATTGTATTGCAAATGCAAGAATATAAATACAGTGATTGGTTACTCACTGGTTAGCGATATATGCAAAGCTCAGATCATTGGAGATGCCAGAAACACATAGTTTGCGAAACGAACCACAGCTTCTCGTGATGAGCAACTGCAGCATTTGATCGATGTTTTCAGGACTACAGTGCTGGCTCCATTCCTCAATGTCAATCTCTTGCCAACAATAAGGCCCCATAACTGCTTTCCTCCATGATTTGCAAACTCCAGGAACCACAGTAAGTATCTCCAGAAGGGAGAGATTTCTGAATATTAAACCAAGTGTATCAGGTATCAGTTCATCCCACGGTCGAAAATCACATCCCTCCTCCATTCTTTTCACAGTCAAACTACTGCACAACACAGCAAGGTAAAGGATTCCAATCTTTTAGTCCGACCTGAAAATCAAAAGTCTACATTTAGAGTCACTAAAAAAGCACCTAAATTCGGTTTACGCGACAAGTATTTACATGGTCTAGAACCCCAAATAAATCCAATTGAAGATCCATGTGGTCTTCTGGACTTACTCTATTTCACCCATTGATGCCCACAAGTGGCAAGATTCCAAGGAGCTTAGATTTGGGCAGGAAAAAGTATATGAATTCAGGAATCATGATGCATGTCACATGCAGAGCTTCTAATCATTAGCAAATCTGCAGATTAATTCCAAAAGGGAAAATTAGAATTGCAGATAGAAAGGTAAAAAAATATAAGAAACAGAACACAGAGTGACAGACATTAAAACCAGTACACAGGCGGCAAAAAAAGAAAAGCCACCACCTTTGCAGAAAGAACTCAGGACAACAGGCTAATAGTCCTGGAGAAAGATGATAAAAATTCAACACCGGATGACAATACAAACCATGTCAAGAACTAAATTTAACCAGAGAAGCTACTAAATTTAATCAATGCCTACATCGGCAATAACAAAATTTATGGAAATGGAAGAAAACCTCTGATTACACAAAGCAATGGAGATTGATTATTTTTCACATGGATTTTGTACGAACTCACTGATACGAGGATCATTTTCATTGAGAGCAGCATGAAATGTTAGGCACTTAGGCCCTGAATGATACATTGGGAAAAACAAAAAAATAAATAAGGGGTTCGGCTAAAAAGAGCAGGAAACACATGCCAAAGTAGGATATGGATCTGTGAGGAGACCGCTTTATCCGCCTAAAATGCAGGGTGGTTTTATATCTTTACAAAGACTCTTCTTTTTCTTCCTCTGAATGTGAGAGAGAGAGAGAGAGAGAGACTAAAACAGAGCAAACAAGAAAATATGAAAAAACACTCGGATATTCTACCCTTAATACCTTCGTTTTAAAGAAAGTGAACAGTAAAAAAATGAGGCAATATCTACAGATTTCTTGATGGCCCTTCAGTTAAATGTTTGATGAGGCTGATTCTAGGCAAGTTTATTGCTTTTGTTGTGAAAATGGATGGTCTAGTATTTTACTAGCATAATTGCTATCAATGTTCTGGCCCTTGTGGACTCAAGAGTGGCATTTTTCCTTTTTCCTTTTTTTTTCCCTTGCACGTTTCTTTTTCGTCCTCTTTCTTTGTCTTTTCAATCTCCTTTCCTGTTTTTAGCCATGAGTTTTGTCACATCAATTCCCTTGATGAGGAAAGATTTACAGGATCTTCCAGCTAAGAGGGGCAGTAAATGAAGAAGTGATTGCTAAGCAAAGAATCTCCGGTGACAGAATTTGCTACTGCTCCTGCTTCTGCTGTTAATTGTTAGCACTTTAGTACAAAGTTCTGTATCCCTTTCATTTGCCACATAGAAATCGCCTAGAATGAAAAAGTCTTTCGATTTGTCCATTTCATTCTTATGTTTAATACAGATTTTTTAAGTTGAAATAAAGGTCTTTCTCCTCCAAAGCTCATTCTAATTTTTTTTTATAAAAAATGTAATCCAGTCATAAAATTCTAAGAAAAACTCTTTTTGACTTGAGAAAAAATAGCGACAATTTTACTTTTCTTTTTTTCTCCGTTATGTCTTGTTGTTACTTGTTAGCATCCAAGTACTTGGAATTTTGTTGTCATGTTGTTTGTAGAAAATTGGTAACGTTTGACATTTGGATTAATTGCAATTTGTGTTTAGATTGAGATGGCAAAGAAGGCCTAACATAACACAACACAACATCATTGTCTGTTTTCAATAATCTTTCATTGGAGGCAAGCTTGCAACCAAACATCCAAGTGAGCTGAGAATGCCAATTGATGGTTGTTGGATGTGTGACCAATTCATTTAGCTGTAATGATATGGTTGAGTTCAATTGTCATTTTTCATAATTTGTAAGTAATGACAAACTTAAGGGGTCTCAACTGTGAAGGGTGAGCCTCAGCCTCACTGTATAGGGTTACAGTTAAAGGTGCCTCGCTACCATGAGTTTCAGTTCAAATCCACTGTAAAGCTCCCACTGGTTTTTTTTTTTTTTTAATCCCATTTATGTGAGATTCATAATCACTAATTATGGCCGGAGTAAGTGTAAAATTGTTTAGTTTAACCCCTTTTGCCAAATTTTACTTCAAGAGTAGAAAGGAAAAAATGTCACTTCAATTTGCTGTTTCCTTTTCTTTTTCCTCTTCTATTTCTTGTCTTAATAGGACTAGTACTATTTTTCTTGACAGAAACTGGACCACAAAATTTAGACGTTGTATCCACCAATCCAAAGTCATCAGTGTTTTGAAAACTAGGCATGTTTTACTACCAGTCTTCCACCACCAAGTCTTCTTCAATTTTTGAGATTTTGAGAAGCTAAAGAAATTTTTTGCACCTTGATGGTGGCTTCTGAAGTTGCACAGTTTAGATTGCCATTTTTTTCTGAAATATTTTTATGTTTTCTGTGAACACATTTAGATTTTTCTGTAAAAACTCTAGAAAATAACAATCCAAACGGATAAAAAGGACAAATGCGTTAGAGCTTTTATCAATATCATTTGTGTCTCTAATAAAACAATCACATGCAAATTAATCAGTATTGTTATTGGATTAAACTTATGGAACAATTTATCAAGTGTAATATTTCGAGAAAAAATGTAATATATTTCAAGAAAGGACTGTTTGAACAAAAGGTTGAGAGCCAAGCTAGAGGCTACTCCACCAAATTCATATCAAGAAATGTGTTATTTTCGCTCCAAATGCTGACATAGTTTTATGCTCAAAATGTTGTTATTTGTCAAGAATTAATTTTAAATACACTGACAATATACGCATTATCCTGCTTGGATGGATGTCATTTCTGATCAATTTGAATTTCAAATCTATATTTTATATATGTGGTATTCATTTAACCGTAATAATGTATACAAGATTTATTCATGGGTCAATAACGACAATATAACTTATCACTTTCATATAATGTGGTCAGAGTCTAGTATTTCTATCAAATGATATATTTACGGTATCCTACCTACCTATCGTGCAAGAAAAACAGAAAATGTGCAAGTCTTAATTTGGTGTTATCTTTTTTCCTGAAATCTTTATTATTTAGAAGAAAGTGGAACATTTTCATTTATGAAAAGAAACAAATTAAAGGGGTTATTGAACCTTTTACTGATATTACATTTATTTGCTAAGCGAGTTAAGAAAAGGTTACAGTAACGCAAGACGACAATGGTATTTAGCAATTCAATTTGGGCCATTGATCTTCTGTTTTTGGGCTTGGAGTATACCGGTTTGGTTCTTCTCCGTCTCAGATGTTTATAGTAAAATTTTATATTCAACCCAATCCATTGATGATAATAGGACCAATCGTCTATAAGCTCCTCTTTATTATTATTATTATTAATTAGGGCAAATTTCCGTTTGGCCCTTGAACTTTTAGTTTAGGTAAAACTTAACCCTTCAACTATTAATAATCAGCTTTTAGCCCTCTAACTTGTAAAATAGGGAATCCGTGGTGCTTTTGGCTAGTTTATCCGATTTTACAACTGGAAAGACAAATCACGCGAATGGCAGTATATTTTATAGAAGGGTCTTTTTGTCTGCACAAAAACAAGCAAAAAGTCAACGATGTATATCGTATCCCCAATCAACCCAAATCCCTAATAGATCTCAACACACGAATTGCAGAGGGAAGGAAGAGAAATGTTTGTCAAGAGCAAGCAAGAACACGCAAATATCATAGCCCTCCCCTTCCTATTTGTCTCTACGGTCAAGTCACAAAGATGATTATTTCGTGGACTGATAGAAACCCGAGGAGAAAGTACTGTTGAGAAATGCCAACTTTTCCTACAGATTTTATCAGATTGAGTTTGATATCAAAATAATTTAGTTATTAGAAAAATAAGAATATTTGTTAACCAAAGATCATGTTGGTTTGTTAACAAATATTTTAGCTAAGATTTGCTAGTAGAAGAATATTATATTTTGTTGAGATTTTTAGGATAATTGTTAGTTGAATATTTTGCTAGTTTGTTTTATATAATCACTATAAATAGTGAGTTGATTAATGTAGAACACAAGCTCATTTTTCATCTTTAATACAAGTCTCTTATAAGTTTTTTTTGCAACACTAAAGTGTTGTTTCTTAGTTTATGCCCCAAAAAACCAACAAAGTGGTATCAATATCCTATATCTTAAGGACCTGAGTCTTTTTTTTAGAGTGATGCATTGGTGAGGATCCTTTATAAGTTCAAAGCTATGACAGGAAAGAACTTTTTGTCAAATGTTTCAATTTTTAGTGGTGAAACTTACCAATTTTGGGCCATAAAATTTTGGACTTATTTGGTAGTCAATGATCTACAAGATATGGTGGAGACGAATTTTGTTTCACCAGCATTTAAAGAACTGATGGATACACAAATTAGAGACCACAGAGTTGCAGTTAGACAGAGATCCAAGGCCAGCATTCACATTTCAGTTTTTGATGCCATTTTCCCAAGGATAATGGCTAATGATTTGATTGAGAATAAATTATTCTCAATTAAAATAAAAAGAAAAAGTTTCACTATGAATTGGTTAGATTTTGACAATTCTAAAGTGGAACATGATAATGAAATCAAGAATTCAGATCCTGAAAAAATTCAGGAGGAGATCATTGATAAGTCAGGACGTATCAAATTGATTCCTGATATTTATCAAGATTATAATATTACTGTTTTTGAGTCTACAGATTTTGATGGTGATGACAAAGTGAAGAACCATGCAAAATTTCATATTTCTGTATAGGTTCAAATATCGTCAAAGGATGTTCCACTTTAAACCTATGAGAAGGTTATTTGGAAACATTAAAAAAAATCATCTTTTATTTGGTGTATGACATGAGAAGACAAAAGAAATGATTTGTTGCAAGACTAATATTTAGCTTGCATAAAAACCTAAAAGAAGAAGTTCATTGCAAGGCTAATCCTTAGTTGCAGAACCTCTTACAAAAGCCTTGTTCAAAACAAGGTTCAAAAATTTGAGAATACAATTGAAAATCTGCAACAAAAGTGGCAAGGAGGAGTGTTGAGATATGCCAACCTTTCCTACAGATTTTATCAGATTGAGTTTGATATCAAAATAATTTAGTTATTAGAAAAATAAGGATATTTGTTAACCAAAAATCATGTTGGTTTGTTAACAAATATTTTAGTTAAGATTTGCTAGTAGAAGAAGATTATATTTTGTTGAGATTTTTAGGATAATTGTTAGTTTGTTTCATGTAATCACTATAGATAGTGAGTTGATGAATGTAGAACACAAACTCATTTTTCATCTTTAATACAAGTCTCTTATAAGTTTTTTTTGCAACACTAAGGTATTGTTTCTTAGTTTATACCCCAAAAAACCAACAAGTACACTATTTGCTCACAAGAAATTGGTGGGTGTGGGTATTGGGTTTGGATCAACGAGAAGATGTGCCGCCGTTCTATTGAGTTGGTGCCCGGCCTTCTAAGGAGAATCAATGAAATACAGAAGCATTCATTTTGCTGCCTAATTTGCCATTCCATTGTTGTTTCAATGTCAATGATACTCTCTTCCTCTTCTCTGTCAACAAAGATCCTCAAGAGAAGATGAAGAGGGGTAAGGAAAAAGGGTTAGTTTGAGAGCTTAGTTTAGTTGGAGTAGGGAAAGGAAAGATAATGTACTTTGTTCGATTTTTACTTGTTTTTGTGTGGACAAAAATACTCTTCTACAAAGCATATTGCCATTCAAGTGATTTGACTTTCGGATTGCAAAATTTGATAAATTAGTCAAAAGGGCAACGAGTTCCCTATTTTACAAGTTGGAGGGCTAAAAGTTGACTATTAATAGTTAGAAGGTTAAGTTTTACCTAAACTAAAAGTTCAAGGGC